AATATATGCAGTTGAAAATGCTACAGAAAGTATACATGAAGCAAGTTTAGTCAAGGGTTGATAACTGTTGAAGCTGAGTTATTGGGCGTTGTTATATGTACTGTTCTATGTTTTTAAAAAAAAAAGAAAATTTCAATAATATAAAATTAAACAACAGAATACTCCTGAAGCAATAATCTGTGCAATTTGGGCACCACCAGACACCTTGGATTCACATGAAGAAACAACAGACAGGATGATATGGCCCATCTATTGGTTTGCTATTTATTATCCTGGATATTGGCCTAGAATGGAAACTTCAGAGTCTGATATGGTGAACCTGAAGAGCCCGAGTAAATGAAAAGGACTGAGATGGTAGCAAAAGAGAATTACAGTTTTTAATTAAAAATATTTATTTAAAAATATAATTGCTATCTCTATCTAGTTGCATATATGGGAGAATTACAGTCTTGAATGAAGGGGAAATTCTTCCTTATGCAGGATGGTTTAAGCTTGGCCTGGAAAACACAAGAATTTCATCTATGGAGCTGCATAGAAATACTGAACCATTGGCCTACTTACAGGGTCTACTGAGACTCCTGAAGCATAGCTTCAGTCTGTGCTGCGACTGGGGCATGCTGACGCTGGGAAAGCAACCTATTAAGAAAAGTGAATTTGGACTGGGCAAATAACAGTGAATTTAAATGATCCCCTATGATCTGATTTCTCTTGGTCTGGAGAAAACTATGACCTAAGAAGCATATAGAGAGATGATATGATCAAGGACCTACGATAAAGATTGAGAAAAGCAAACCATAAAAATTGGGCTTATAATGAGACTAGAGAGTCTGCCCAGAGTGGATGATAGTTTTTGTTTTGTTTTTAAGAGGCCCTCAGAGTGTAGGTACATTTCAGATGGGAGGCAAGGGGGACGGTTATTTACCTGAACCAAACTCAGAGTTTCCCCCAACTCTTAACCCAGTCTGATCTTTTACCTGGGAGGAAAAATCTGCTTTCTGGGGAGATAAAAGAGAGTTTACCCTAAGTAAAATTGTACTGACCTCTCTTTCTAAGCCCTCTGAGTTCTCCTCTACCTCTAATAGACATAAAAGGACAAATGGAGCCCAGAAAAAAAGGGATTTTATTACCAGTTCCAAGAGAGACTAGCATTACCCAATATAGAGCAGCACTAAACCAATTGTCCCAGCTGGGTAAAAGGGGGCGGGGGGGGGGGGAAGTAAACTCCTTCATGGAAGAGGGAGGGGTTGGGTTGAAATTCCTTTTCTTCTGATTATGTATATCCCATTTACCTCAATATAATGTCACAAAAAGGAGATCCTTCTTTGTGTCAGATTATCACACACACACACACACACACACACACACACACACACACACACACGGATGCACTGTAGAGCATCCTCCTCATTACTTATGCCAGCGGTTCTCAACCTGTGGGTCGCGACCCCTTTGGGGGTCGAACGACCCTTTCACAGGGGTCACCTAAGCCCATCAGAAAACACATATATAATTACATATTGTTTTGTGATTAATCACTATGCTTTAATTATGTTCAATTTGTAGCAATGAAAATAAATCCTGCATATCAGATATTTACATGACGATTCATAACAGTAGCAAAATTACAGTTATGAAGTAGCAACGAAAATAATTTTATGGTTGGGGGTCACCACAACATGAGGAACTGTATTAAAGGGTCGCAGCATTAGGAAGGTTGAGAACCACTGACTTATGCAAATTGGTCTCATAAGAAAAGCTTTAACAAAGTGTCTCCTCTCAGGACCACATAGCCTTTGTAAATCATAATAATAACAATTATAATAGTTTGTTATTGTTGCTATTATTTATAGCAGGAGAAGTAGAAACTCTGAAAGGAAAAACTCAGGTCTCAAGTTGTTGAGGAAATCAATGACAAAACTGGGAACTGAGCTTCCCTGATCATGTCTCAAGCCCTTAGAACCTCTTACACCACAGCTACCAGCCTAATCCTGCTCAGAATTACCCCACAGATCCCGCCTTTTTTAGTGGACTATGAACTTTCCTTTATTGGTTAGGGAAGCTATTAGGTATGTGACTCTTTTATTGGCATATTATTTTCCAGATTCCAAAGCAGTTTCTCACACCTGACCTTATTCCCCTAACTTTCTAGTGTGACAAAGCTTAGTGGGTCCTCACTTGACTGTCCGTGTTCTTTTTGTATCTGTTAGAGGGAAAACTCAACAAAAACTTAGTAGGACAACACATTACCATGAATTCAATGATTTTAAATGAGCTGTGTATTTTACTGGTCATAATATACATTTGAAAAAGTGTTGCATATATATGCAAAGAATAGCTAACGATGATGCTTCATGAGAATATGGATTCAAAGACACCCCCCACTTAATAACTGAAGCCTTTGCTAATCAGGGGTTTTGCATATTGTCATTAGTTGAAATTTCAAGAGCCATAGTCAGGTTACTCTAAAAACATAAATGTAGAGAAACAAGGGATGATGTATTGCAAAAAGTGCTTTAAAACACAAGATTTCAGGTAATCTTGCTCTTCTGCAGAAAAGAAACTGACCATGTTTAAATCCTTTGGAAAAACTAAGGGTAGTGATCTCTGTTGAAGAATTCGACCAGAGCCATGGTTAACCTCTGTGTCCCAGTGGATCTTTCTGATTTGGTTATTGTGTTGAGGAGAGAGAGAGAGAGAGAACGAACGAACTGGAAAGACCCAGTATCATTATGATACATCATTTGGAGTCGAATGAAGTCAACAGTTAAGGAAAAATATATTCTAGGTCCATTCATTTCAGATGAGTAAGTGTATTGGAAGTGGACAAATTACTTCATCTCTGGCCACCATTATAAGCATCACTGTTTGCTTGGCTATATCATGCTTTCCCATACTCATTTCTTTCTTCCTTCCTTTCATCCATTTTTTTTTAGCCATTAATAATTAAGAAACAAAAAATAATTAAGAAACAACAAATTTTTAAAAAAATATTTCTTCTCAAGTTACTAAAGGATCATTCTTTCAAAAGCTTCCAGACAAGAGAAAACTATGGAGAATGCTCTTTCCCCCAATTATGTTGCACTGAGATACCTAGTAAACTGCATATTGTAGGCACATGTCATTTTTATCCGTTCCTTTTCAAGCCCAGGAATTTCTGTTGATGAACTCTTTTAGGCAGTAATTTCAGGCAAGCCTACAATTGAACAGCCAAGCAGAAATTGTGATTCTCTATTTGTTAAATGCTTTTGAGGTCTCCACATAAAAGGTTGATAATGAAGTACTAAGAGAAACATCTGAAAGGCTGCGGTTGGTCAAATTTCTCTGCATGGCACAAAGGGAAAGATGACCTTATGCAAAACCCTGATAGTTCCATTCTAAGAATAATCAAGGTTGAATGTTAAATTTAAAAATCACATTTCCAATGCCACCAAAACCAGACTCAGCAAAGTATAAATATTCAAATTGAGGCTTATGGAATGCAATTAAAAAAGTTAACTGCCTTACACAGATTTGTACACTTTCTCCTCAAAGTCAGGGAAAGTGAGAAGGGGTTCTTAAACCCTGTTTTTAAATAAGAATTTTCTTTCACATCTCTTTTTTCTTCTTTCTCTTTGAATCCAGACACTTGAATTTGGACAGACAAGCAACCCAGCCACCTTTCAGTGTGGCAGTGTCAATATCGGAATGAAATGAACATGACCCCCTCCAGCAGGGAAGGAACACACAGTAAAGGTATTTTTTATAGAACAATTCTTCACACTGCCCTGGTGACTGGGGAAAGGAATCTCGTGTTTCTCTTTTGCTGATACTGAATCAGCTGAAGAATACCATGAACATCAGTAGAAATTCTCTGAACTAAGTCTCCTCGCCCTTTTGTCTTTTTGTTCTCATGGGAGAGAGAGAAAGAAGATTTTTTTGGACATGAAATATTTAATTAAAATACCAATTAAAAATTGACCAATTATTTGGTGGTTCCGTTTATAATCAGGAATGTTGCAAATTATTGCATTAACCGGCAAATTGTATTAATTTGGCAGACTCGTTATCAACTCTTGAATAATGATGGCTATACTCATTTATGATAAGAACACACTCTCAATTAGCACAGGAAGCTGATTTCAGCAAAGAAACCCCTATTCTTGCTTCCTCAACAGTTTATGTAGCAATTGGATTCGTAACTTGGCTAAATAGATGGTCAAAATGAGAACTGATGAAGAGAGACTGTGCTCACATCTTAATTGAGGAGAAACTCCAAACACCCTGGCAACATGCATTTCCCAGGTCTTACAGTCTGCATGTTATTTCGTACTTGCTTATTAACTTTTCCATGTATAGGTACTTTATGTGTTTTCCAAGAGCTAAGTGCAAATGATGATCATATCATCTATCATTTGTGTGGCGATTTATAGTTTACAAAACACTTTCACACATGCTATCTTATTTTCTGAGCAATTTTAGAAATATTTGTAAATGGAATAAATTAAACAAATTTGTAGAAAGTTTAGGTTCCTAAAATACTTAAATTCAAACATGTTGGCTGACCTAGTACCAACTCAGTAGTTAATTTTTAATCTCTAGGAAGTGATGATATGAGCTATTCCTTAGAATATTCTGAAAACATTCAAGTCAGACAGTGTAAAATAAGATCCCATTGAATTTTTGTCTTCAACATACAGTAGAACTTGCTTTGAACCACCGTCCTCTTCTCTACAATGCCGAAATCAAGATTTGATAAAAAGGGCTACTGTCTTTCCCAAAAAACCATGCAGAATATTTGCGATACAGCAATTTAGAAAAATAGGAACCCCCATCTTTTAATTCTTTTATTGGTAGGGGGTCTAAGGATTTACTGAAATCACCCACAATTTGGAAGAGCCCTACTCCCTGGAACACTTTTTCCTAGGAGAGATCCCAACGCGCCCTACATTCCTGGAAATGAAAATGAGCTCTCTCCCATATATTACATGCATTTACCTAATTCTAGGTTCCAGGTTACTTACCAGGTATGGCTGAGTTGGAGGACACAGGTGAAAAGAAAGATGCACACAGAAGGCTTCATAAGTAACATAATCCTCTGGAGTAACAGAGATAGAAAATTCTAAAAACTTGGGAAACAGTGCTAAGATGGGACGTATTCTCCTCCTGGTAGTGGGATGGAATTCTCCTCGAACCCCAACTTCCTTGGTGTGTAAGCGATCCCAAACAGAGTTAAGGGGAGGTGAAATGGAGCTGCCAAACTTCCAAAGAAGAGATTATCTACTTAATTAAAGTTTTTTCCCCCTCTAAGTCCTTCAGCCAATCAGAACTCAAGTGCCAGAGAAAGATTGAGTCGATCAAAGGAACACTCCAGGATCCTCCCAGACAAATGCAGAAGAAGGGGACGAGGAAAAGGGGACAAAGAGAGCAACACGGAGAAAAAGCACAAAGAAAGAGGGGTGAGGGGAGGAAAGAGACATAGCAAATCCCCTCCACATAATCACTGTGTGGAGTCTCTCTCCTCCCTCTTGCCAATGCCCTCCCACCCCACCTCAACCTCCCCCACCATGCACACTCACGTGCAGACTCGGGCACAGAGAGGAGAGCCTGGTGCCCAAGGGGATTTACAAGGGACTGTGCTTTCCCGGTTGTCCTTTGTGGGGCTTTGAGACTTAATTTGCATTTAGGATAGCCCTCTTCAGAGAAAAAGGTACTAGGTGCACCTCAGCCCTCTGATGTGAGAATATGGGAAGGGGACCCAACCATCTCTGGTATTCTTCTTCTAAGTTAGAAAGGGAGCCTAATGGTTTCTTCCTTTCAACTTTACCATCAGACACTTACTTGTTGAACACCTATTACATCCTCAGTCCTACCCTGGGCATTGTGGGCATCTTTAAAACCTCCAAACATGATTTTTGCCCTGAAGACATTTATAAGCTGGTAAGGTGATAATGTACGGATGCAATTTAATAAGGTAGTAAATTGCTGCAAACTGACTACAAATCATACAGGCTGATTTAGGGAAGGTTTTCTGAAGAAGACAGAATTTGAAATTCAAAGAAGGGATGAGATTTCAATAGACAGCCACATTCCTATCCTCTTAAACTAAGGTGGTGAAGCCAGTAGGCATCAAGCTCACACATCTCTGAGTTGCTGTCCCTTCTGTCCCAGTAGAGAGGACAGGTCACCTCAGTCACAGTGCAGGGTCCTCAGAGGCCCCCAGCTTACTTCCACACGGACACATTTTCTACTTTAGCATCCACATTGCCTTTCCTCCGGGCTCCCCCGAGACAATGGTCTGTCTCTGTATTTCCCACTTTATCCTCATTTCTCTTGCTTCACAACCCGCTCTGGCAAACTGAACTGGAAAATAAAGAATGACTATATTAATTAATTATCTAGATTATTTAAGCCAGATGATTTAGGGGTATTCACCTAAACATTTGACCAGGTAACTTTGTTACCTACTTGGGATCTTCTATTAAAGTTTTTTTTTTTTTGGATCTTTATTTTGGATTCTTTTTTTTGTTTTAAATATATTTTTATTGATTTCAGAGAGGAAGGGAGAGAAAGTTAGAAATATCAATGATGAGAGAGAATCACTGGTTGGCTGCCTCCTGCACACTCCACACTGGAGATTGAGCCTGCAACCCAGGCATGTGCTCTGACCGGGAATCAAACCGTGATCTTCTGGTTCATAGGTAGATGCTCAACCATTGAGCCACCCTGGCAGGGCTATTTTGGATTCCTTATTGCAAGGTGAGCTTGGGCAGTTTTGAGTCCCACACAAACAACTTTAGGTCCTTCTCTCCCCCCCCCACCCCAACTTTATTAAGGTATAATTGACAGATAAAAATTGTATATACTTAAGGTGTATAACTTTGTTGTGAGAAGAATTAAGATCTAGTCTCTTAGCAACTTTGAAGTTTATCTAATCTTCTTAAGCTCCTCTCATCTTTTCCAAAATTTAGCTCTGCAGTTTCCTCTCGGTCTCCTCAAATCAAGGGTTCCATGTAAAAAGGAGCTACTTTGCATTATTCCTCTAAAAATGAATTATATTACATTATTCAATAACTTTTAATATTATATATATTTGGAAAGAAGATGTTCGTAGGTCTCCTGGAGTTTTGTACCAACAACTGATATATTGAAGCATTTATAACCAAGTTTCTTAATCTTCTTTCTACCCTAGTTTATTTTCTGAAGATGTTTGCTTGATATTATTATTTTAGACCTAAAAATGTGGAAACCAAGGCACAGGGCAGAAAAGCAAGTACTGAATACTCTAAGTAATACTACTCTTTAAATTATTATTTCTCTCCCCTGCTATTTTATTTAATCCTTATTTAAAACTTTGATGGCAGTATATAAACTTTTTCCTGAGAAAACATGGAAATGTTCATTTGTCTGTGTATTTAACTGGCAAAAACTTAATGGCCTCTGATGTGTCAGACCCTGTGTAGGTCCCTGAATTGTGGGGATAGAGGAGGCTGTCACCACATTTATAGTCTTTTGGAAGACACAGACTAGTAAATGCTCAAAAGTGCTAAGAGAGAAAAGCCGGAAGCATTATGAAAGCAGAGAGGCCATACTAGTATACCTAAAGGAACGAAAGAGAGGCAGAAAGGCTCCCTAAGATGCAAAGACGTGGTTGAATCTTAAAACAACAACAACAACAACGAAAAACACAACCAAATGAGTTACCAGTAGTGACAGAGAGGAAGGGGGTTCCACATAGAAGAAATAACAGTAGGTTTTACAAATCTGTGAAGCAATAGGTATGTTTGGAGAACTATAATGTGTCTGTTATGGCTGGAATGTGTATGACATGGAGATAGAGGGAAGGCCCAAGAAATCAGGTGGGAAGGCCCAAGAAATCAGGTGGGAAGGCCCAAGAAATCAGGAAGGGCCTGTGCTAGGGAGTTTGTATTTTATCATAAAGGCGGTTGGACACCATCAAAGGGGATTAAGCAGATATGTGACATAAAATTTATAGATCAGATTTGGGGGGGGGAGATTTTTTTTTTTTTTTGGCAGTGATGAAAGATGGCTTAAATAAGACTATAGGTAGCGACAGGTTAGGGCCAGTTGCAGAAATCCAGGTGAGAAGATACAAAGGCTGACCTATGGTAGTGAAAAAAAGAGGATGGAATTAGATAGCTATTTAGTATCACAGAGGCTGCCATGATAGAATATTTGCTCATTAAGTAGTCAATATTCAGTTGTTAATATTTACTCTATTGTTCTCCAAAGTATTTTTTAAAATCTATTATTAAAGTTGATCTGAGGACAATTAATATTTAGGTAAAAGAATCCTTTTAGATTTAACCGGGTACTCCCCCCACAAAAAAACAACCACTCTAGAAACAAAATAAAAATATCAATAGAAATATTTTCAATATATATTTTAAAAAGTGAATTTCTTTAATATGTAAAGAGTTATTATAAACCATTAGGATGAAAAAAACAACCCTATTTTACAATGGCTAATTCATATGAATAAGCTCTTCAAAAATGAAGGAATAAAAATATCCATAAGCCCCAGCCGGTTTGGCTCAGTTGATAGAGCGTCAGCCTGTGGACTGAAGGGTCCCAGGTTCGATTCCGGTCAAGGGCACATGCCCGGGTTGTGGACTTGATCCCCACTAGGGGGTGTGCAGGAGGCAGCCAATCAATGATTCTCTCTCATCATTGATGTTTCTATTGTTTTCTCCTCTCCCTTCCTCTCGGAAATCAATAAAGATATATTTTAAAAATCCATAAAAATATTCAGCTTTGCCTAGCTGGTGTGGCTTAGTTGGTTGTGCATTGTCCCATGCACTAAGAGGTCACTGGTTCAATTCCCAGTCAGGTTACATGCCAGAGTTGTGGGCTCTATTCCCAGTAGGGGCGTGCAGGGGGAAGCCAATAGATGATCTTTTTCTTTCTTTCTTTTCTTTTCTTTTTCTTTCTTTCTTTCTTTCTTTCTTTCTTTCTTTCTTTCTTTCTTTCTTTCTTTCTTTCTTTCTTCCTTCCTTCCTTCCTTCCTTCCTTCCTTCCTTCCTTCCTTCCTTTCTTCTTTCTTTCTTTCTTTCTTTCGTTGAGATTATTACAGATGTCCCTCTTCCCCCCCACCCCATTGCCTCCCTCCACCCAGTTCCTGCCCAGCCCCAGGCCTTCACCACCCTATTATCTGTGTCCATAGGTAATGCATATATGCATATAAGATCTTTGTTTCATCTCTTTCTACCGCCCACCCCCTCTCTCTGAGAATTGTCAGTCTATTCCATTTCCTTGCCTCTGATTCTATTTTATTCAGTTTATTCTGTTCATTAGATTTCTTATTTGTTTATTTTGATTTTTAGATTCAATTGTTGATAGGTATGTATTTGTTGCCATTTTGTTGTTCATATTTTTTATCTTTTTCTTCTTCTTTCTCTTCTTAAAGAATACCTTTCAGCATTTCATATAATACTGGTTTGGTGGTGATGAACTCCTTTAGCTTTTTCTTGTCTATGAAGCTCTTTATCTGACCTTCAATTCTAAATGATAGCTTTGCTGGGT